AGATCTACAAACTAACCAAAAATAACCTAGATCTACAAACCTACACTTTCGGCCTTCTACGGTGCTTGACGGTGGACGACTGGTGGTTGAAGGTGTTGTTGAGCAGCGGCGGTTGTTGATGCTGGGGATTTTATTTTTTTTGAAGGCTTGTTGATGTTGTTGATGTTGCAATAGAAGAAGGGGGAAAGAGAAATAGAAGAGGCTTGTTGATGTTTCTGAGAAATGAGGGAGGAGAGGAGAGAGAAAGAAAAATGAGGGAGGAGAGAGAAAGAAAAATGAGGGAGAAGGCTGCAAAAGAGGCGCACAGCCTAAATGACGGAGGTTAGGGTATTTTAAGTTTGTGTTTTTTTTATTATTTAATTACTTTTCCGACGGAATTTTCCGTCGGATTTTATTTCCGTCGGAAACATAATTTTCCGACGGAAAATTCCCTCGGAAATTTCCGACGGATGTCATTTCCGTCGAAGGATTCAGTTTCCGACGGAATATTCCGTCGGAAAACCCATAAATTCCAACGGATTTGTATTCCGTAGGAATTCCGTCGGAAAATTCCGACAGATTTTAATTCCGTCGGAACGTTCCGACGGATTTCATGTGGTTTTTGTTTGGATTTTATTTTTTTGGTTGTGTGGTTTTTGTTTTTGGGTGTGGGTGGGGCTGCGTGTGGGTGGGGGTTTTTCTGGGCACGGGGGGTGGGTGGGGCTGCGTGTGGGTGGGGGTTTTTCTGGGAAGGCGGGGGAGGGTGGGGCTGCGTGTCGGTGGGGGTTTTTTGGGCAGGCAGGGGTGGGTAGGGCTGGGTGTGGGTGGGGCTGCGTGTGGGTGGGGGTTATGCGTGGGTTAGGTGGGTGTGGGTGGTGGTGCCGGAGGTGGCAGGGATTTTTTTTTTTTTTTTGCAGATTCCGACGGAAATTCCGTCGGAAGTTTCCGGCGGATTTGAATTCCGTCGGAATTTTCCGACGGACTTTCCGGTGACCGGAATCCCTCTTCCTACGAAGAAATTCCGTCGAAAATTCTGTCTGAACAGTGTTTTCCGACGGAAAAGGCCGTTTTTTCGACAAAAGGGTTTCCGACAACCGGTTCCGACAGAATTCAGGGGGTTTCCAACGGAATTTTTCCGTCGTAAATCACCTGTTTTCTAGTAGTGATTTAGCCAACATGACATCATCAACACATGTTTTTTTTAATACTTCCTTCGTTTATTTTAATATTGCACCACTTGGCTTTTAAGAAAATATCACAAATATTTTACCATTTCTATTTTAGGAAAAGAAATATTTGTGTTCACACTAAAAATACCAAATATACCCTTACTTTTCATCACTTGATTTTTTTAGTTTATGTATACCATCACATGGGCAATCTTGTATTTGTACTTTTCTCTCTCATCCTTTTTTCCACTATCAAAAAACTTGTGCCCGACCCCTATGGTGCAATAAAAAAAGAACGGATGAAGTAACATATTTTATCAACAATTTGTAAACCCACTAATATTTTTTTTAATTAGAATTAAGGAGATAATATTGTGAAAAAAAAAAAACAAAGATCAAGCTTGATAGATTACTTATATTTTTTTCTTTCTTTCAAAAATTACTTATATTGCACACGCACGCATGCATCTCTGAGCTTGTTGTAATAACGTAAGAATCATACAATACTTTGTAACAAGCTTTTTTAAGAAATCTTCTATACTTATATACTAAAGTAATCCCCATAATTATCCCCTAAGTACAAGTGTCATCACGTTGCAAAAAAATTTCCCTCCAAAAAATTGTTACTTTTTTTTTTTTTGAAAGAAGTTTATTACTATATCTTAGAGAGAAGTTTTGGCCTTATATTTAGGGAATGATGCCCAACAATAATAATTTAAATAAAATTAAAAAATATAGTGGTAAAGAATAAGAAATGTTTCGTAATATTATAAAATACTACTTAGGATATTATCAAAAAACATTATTATTATTTTATTTTTTTTGTTATCACCAAGAATAACATGAATAATGAGTACATTTTAATTAAGACAATAGTATGTTTTCATACTATGGATACTAAAATATTATTACTCCTTCCATCTCACATAAAACGATATATAGCTAATAGTGGAAAGTTTTATGAAATATATTTATTAATTACTGATAAACGGTCCCGAGCCGCACCCGTCATGATTGTCCACTTTATATAACCAAGGAGATTCCACCTCAAAACCATATGCCAATGAGAGGAGTAACCCCTTAGCCTTTAAAGTGGACACGACTTTCTCTTTTCTTTAATGTGGGATACACATCCCAATATTCCTGTTCACTTTTATACTCTTTCAATGTGAGACAACACTTTCACTCACATGTGGGTTTGCTCATGGGCTCAACAATTACACTGATTTGCGCGTGATTTTGTCATGCATTCATAAACTAATACCAAATAAGGAAAGGTATTTAATTCTTAGTTGTAACCCTAAGGGCTATATATAGCATTACCCTTAATCTTATGGTATATCTAGGGATGTCAGTGGGGAGGGTCAAATAGGAGACCCGCCCCATCCTTGCCCCGACGGGGCGGAGATGGGTCTTGGTTTGGAGGATGATGGGGCGGGGATGGGGATAAAAACCATACCCGCCATGGGTGATGGGGCGGTGGTGGATTTTAGGTTGTACCCGCCCCATCCCATCCCCGCCCCGCCCCACCCGCCCCACTTCGTACCCGCCCCATCCCCACCTACCCCACTTCGTACCCGCCCCATCCCCACATCCATATATTTTTAAAAACAAAATTATATACTTTTATACTATTTATAAAAAAAATTGTGTAAAATAAAATAGTAAATAGAATACTTTGTAATACACTTATATTATAAACAAAAAAATGTGTAATATTAACAATAATTTTTTTCCTTTTGCAATCTTTATTAATTATGAAGGATTGTATATTTAGGAGGCGGGGATTAGGCGGGTCTTAGGTGGGGATTAGGTGAGGGTGGATATCCAAGTGGGGGTTGGGGCGGGGATGGTTTTGGAATTGTACCCGCCGCGGGGACGGGGATGAAAATTTTAGGTGGGGATGGGGATGGGAAAGCCAACATCCGCCCCGCCCCGCCCTATTGACATCCCTAGGTATATCACAATGCTTATTATTGTACCTTTTTATTTAATGTTTTTTTTTATTTGCAATGATTTCGTGTTGTATAATTTCTAATAATTGAAGAATGAAATATTATTGTAAAACCGTAGATAGAATGAAATATTATTGTAAAACCGTAGATAGCAAGGGTTTTGAACTAATTGAAGTTGGAAGACAACCCAATTGAATAGTATCAAGGTGCGTCAAAAAAGAATAGTACGTAGTATTAAGTATAGAACACGTGAAATTGACACCTTTTTTTTTTTTTTTTTTTTTTTTATCTTTTGGTAACAACACGTGAAATTGACTTCAAGAACGAATGAAAAGAAAATTACGCAACTAAAAGTCGAAAACAACGCAAATCTAATACTTCGTTTTTTTTGTAATTTATTGCAACCTTTGAATTTTTATGTTTGTCAAGCATCTATTAACTAATATTAAAATAAAACGTTGCTGACATCATCTTTTCTTTAAATGAATCAACTCTACTCGGTTGTTCTGGACACTTCTTGGTTAGCTAACCAATCAGCTGTGCACGCGCGGTTCCCTTCTTGGTACACATGTTTCACCTCTACTTGCCATCTTATGTCTTCTATAGCTTTCCTGCAACGGTTGATGATGTGAACACACTCACCCCCATATGTCTCATTACTAACAATAGCTTGCGCCATTCCTTGGTGGTCAAGGTAGTTAGAAAAGTGGTCAAGGTAAGAATTGAATCCCTCTGTTGTTGTTTGATAAGCAAATTCAATTATTACCTTGATCAGGAAAAGTAGGTATGAATAGTGGGTTGCCTTTAAAAAAAATTTGAGCCGAAGAGAAAAAAAATCATTTTGTGGGAATTTTTCTTAAAAAAATATATTATTGCTCAATGATATGCATTACAAATTTCCAAGTCAAGATTTTTTTCCAAATAGTTTCAAGAGTTTTGTTTAGAATTTGAAAATAAATAGTCATTTTGATCAATAAATTTGATGTATAATCATTTCAATAAAAGATCCAATATTATTTTTCTTCATATTTTACTAATTGTACTCTATTTACTAATATCTTTGACGATTTGGAATTTAAGAATTTTCCATTTTGATTTCAAAGTTAGACTATTAATTTTGTCTTGTATGTTAGATACTTTCAATAGTTTGAAAAAAAAATATACAACAAAATTACCTCACTCGTGAAACTATCAAAAGTTGGTCATAATTTTTATAGAAAAAGCAGAAAAAAGATGGTCATCATTAAGACATTAATTTACTACTAATAATTTAGTTCCCACGTTCAACGCTACTCTCCTTTGCTGATGTTGTGAGGTATCAGTTCATTTATTTCACCTAACATTCACTAAAGGACTGAAATTATGTTGTTAATAATTTGTTAATTGAAGCTGAATTTAATTTACTGATTAATTTCGTATACTTGTATTATTGAAGCGGATTTAAGTTAAAGATGGGTTTGCATTATTGATCAACTTACGTTCAATCAAACAATGAATCTAGTAATTAAAGAAACTATGGCAATCACAACTATAAATATATAGGACGGCAAGCAAGTCATAAACTTATATGGCAAAAACTAACCCTTTTCAACATGGGGTTAGTGATAAAGTCTAAATAAATTGGCGTTAAAGGCAATCATAATTCTAAACGTTTTTTATTTACTTGCACTAGTTCGTTCCCAAACTAACATATCATCACTATCTAAATATAGTCAATTAAAGTTCACAATATATTTAATTTGCGTATAATTAAGCAAAACTACTATAGCTAGTGAGACTATAGTCTATGTCCCTATATAACGAAAAGTCAAGACTTACTTCCATATATCCATATATATATATATATATATATATATATATATATATATATATATATATATATATATATACTATTGCCACTAACTCATAAAAATCATACAATTACACTCTAATTATTCCAAACAATTAAGTTAATTCAAGTAATTAAGAGCTCAAAATGGAGGCACTTTGGGTATTGTCAATACTCTTCATATTTTCATACTTTATACTTCACTTTTTTACTAAAACACAAAAAAATCTACCACCAGGGCCTCCAAAGTTACCTTTAATAGGCAACCTCCATCAAATTGCATCAAAAACCACCCTCCCTCACCACCGCCTCGCCGAGCTAGCAAGTGTGCACGGCCCTATCATGCACCTCCGCCTAGGAGAAGTGCCTACGGTGATCATTTCCTCGGCGGAGATGGCGAAAAAAGTGATGAAAACTCATGATTCTTTGCTTTGTAATAGGCCAACAATGTTATTGACAGAAGTAGCGCTCTATAACTCTAGTGACATTGCTTTTTGCCCCTATGGGGACTACTGGCGCCAAGTTCGTAAGATCGCCACCCTCGAACTCCTTACCAACCGCCGTGTTCAGTTGTTTCGGCCCATAAGAGAGCAGGAAGTTGTGGAGTTTGTCAAGTCTTTAGCTTCTCAAGCTGGCTCCGTGGTTAACATTAGTAGCCTGATTTTTTCCCTCTTGTTTGACATCACTTTAAGGTATGTACATTTTTTTGAGCTGAGTACGTTTGGTAATTTTTTTATTTTTTTATTTTTGAAATATATTTGGCTTCTGGGGTCAACGGTAAAAAAATATACAAATTTTTATATGTGGTTGGCCACACGGTTATTATGGGGGTTACTTTATTAATGTTATAGGAGTCGGGTTACTTAGTCAATATCACTAGGTTACTTTGTCGGTGTTATAAGGGTTACTCATTCAATGTTATAGGGTTACTCGATTCTTTAATAAGTCATCACATGGTGTGGCCAGCCGCAAACAAAACACGCTATAAAAATAGCCTGTCTTGTATGTGGCTGGCCCCACCATATGACCACTTATGAAATAACAAAGTAATCCATATAACACTGACCAAGTGACCCCTGAAATACTAACTGAGTAACTCGTATAATACTAACTGAGTAACCATATAACATTGACGAAGTAACCCCTTTAGCATTGACTAAGTAACTCCTATTACACTAATAAAGTAACCCTATGATGGCTAGCCTTATTAGCTTCTATCCTTGTAGCTTGATTATTTTATCTTTTTTTCGTTCAATAGAATATTTCAATTCATAAATTTGCCGATTTCTCATAAGTACGTTGTGTAACAACAGATTAGGAATGAACAAGAAAGGCAAAGATGGAGACGCGTTTAAAACACTTGTAGGAGATGTGACAGCGATTACCTCTGGCTTGTCATTTGGAGACCTATATCCATCATTGAGATTTATAAGTACCATTAGTGGACTAAAAGGGCAACTTCAAAGGATAGTCAAGAGAATTGACAATTTAATGGATCCTATAATTGAAGAGCATATGTCTAACAAAAAACAAGGTATTGAAGACGAAGATGTGATTGATGCTCTTCTAAAATTTCACAAGGACAACGTACGTCTTAACACCGATTTTTCTCTCACTACCAACAACATCAAGGCCATAGTTTTTGTGAGTTCAACTTAATTTATTGATTGCTTGCTTACATCAATTATTGTTTGGAATTTTAATGATTATTTGTGATTCTTTTTTCTCTACATATATACAGTTATTAAAAGGGTAAAGATCAAATTTGTATATCTAGTATAGATTAAGATCAAATTCTTACAAACTATGCAAGATTTATGAGAGATAGTTCTCAAAATATATGTATTAAGATTAATTACATTGTTATAAAATTATGCATGTAGGAGTTATTTGTTGCTGGGAGCGAAACAACTTCAACAGTAATCGAATGGGCAATCTCTGAATTGTTAAGGAACCCTGGAGTTATGAAAAAGACACAAGATGAGGTGAGACAAATTTTAAAAGGAACTGAGACATTAATTAATGAGGAAAGTCTAGACAAGCTAAAATACTTGAAGCTTGTAATCAAAGAAACTTTAAGGCTTCATCCTCCTTCCCCTCTTTTGGTTCCAAGAGAGTCCATAGCAAGATGTGAAATTGATGGTTATGAAATATCTTCAAAAACTCGAATTTTCATTAATGCATGGGCTATTGGAAGAAGTCCAAAATATTGGACAAACCCTGAAAAATTTAATCCCGAAAGATTTGAAGAATCTTCAGTTGATTTTAAGGGAATGCATTTTGAGCTAATTCCATTTGGCTCAGGAAGAAGGATTTGCCCGGGAATGGGACTAGGTATTGCCACAATCGAGCTCGTGCTAGCCATGTTGCTTTACCATTTTGATTGGAAGTTACCTAATGGGACTGGACCTCAAGAATTGGACATGGATGAGACTTTTGGCTTAGTAGGGAGGAGGAAGAATGACTTGCAAGTAATTCCTTTGCTATACACTTTCTCAGGTTTCAAATGATATGATGGTCTTTTCGTTGCTATATAAATAAACCATCTTGGCTTTATGAGCAATGGAAATAGTCTAATACAACGTATTTTCTTTCAAATAAGTGATTTGTGGTCAATTTTTATTACTTGTAATATTTACATGTATGTTTAATTATTAAGGGTCTTTTGTTTTATATTATCTTATCTTATTTAATTTTGTCTTATTCAGACAAAATACACTAGTAGAAAAACATAAATTCGCCACCGGTTTAAAATCCCCCTATCACACCAGTTTTGAACCGGTCTAGATTTGAGGGATGCGAAAAAAGCAAAACATTCGCACTAGTTCAAAACCAGTGGCAATTCTTACTTTTCACACCGGTTAACCAGTGCGAATTAATATTTTAACTAGTGCTAAAACACTTTGCCATGGTTTTTTTTTTGTTATTAATAAGTTTTGGCACCGGTTATATATATATATATATATATATATTGCAATAATAATAATATTATTATAATAGAATATTACTAATAATAATAATAATAATAAAAAACCTATACATCCTCCATTAATTCTACCATAATAATAATAATAATAATAATAATTAATAACAACAATACATAGATATTAATAATCCCAAATACAATACAATAAAGTGTCATATTTACGAACAATACTAATTAATAATGTAGTTAAAAAGTTAACAAAATATAAATTCAAATAGAAATGACATTTACAAATTAAAGGTGATGAAAGACACCAACATGTCTCGAACTTCATTAAGTTTCTTGCTTGTCAAGGGTTCTTCCTTTAATTTTGTACCTTGCAAAACTTGGAATAAACAAAAATTATGTTAGAATTAATTACTTAGGTTATACATGTATAAATACATTTTTAAAAAAATTAAATACCAAACATGATTTATTATACGTGGCTCACATATATAGAATGTTTCTATTATTTGTAAGTATAAACAAGCAAGTAATAGTCAAATTCATGCATTTACAAGTTCACTTAGGCAAAAATGGCCTAAAATGGCATGTAATAACTACTAACGTATCCAAACTTGTTATTTTCACTCTAAATCTCAATCTAATGACTTATACTAAGCTTATATACCATGTTTATATTGTTAATAACCATATATAAACAAGCAACTAGGAATCAAGTTCATGCTTTTACAAGTTCACTTGGGCAAAAATGGCCTAAATGGAATGTAATAGCTACTAACGTTCCCAAAGTTGTTATTTTCTTTATTAATTTCAATCCAACGAGTTATACTAAGCTTATATACCAAGTTTGTATTGTTGGTAACTATAAATAAGCAATTAGAAGTCAAATTAATGTATTTACTAGTTTAGTTGGGGAAAAATGGCCCAAATAAGGCCTATATGAATTCTACTTTGCCTATTTTCTACATTTCTTATCAAATGAACTCATTCTTTCTCATAACATATCAATATTATATAGTTTTAGGCGGCTAAGTCATGAAATCACATGAAAAGAACATTTTACTAAGTTTTAGGACGGATTTTCATCCAAAATGGCCCAAATAAGGCCTATATGACTTCTACTTCGCCTATTTTCTACATTTCTTATCAAATGAACTCATTCTTTCTCATAACATGTCAATATTACATATTTTTAGGCGGCTAAGGCTTGAAATCACATGAAAAGAGCATTTTACCAAGTTTTAGGATGCATTTTCATCCAAAATGGCCCAAATAAGGTCTATATGAATTCTACTATGCCTATTTTCTACATTTCTTATCAAATAAACCCATTCTTTCTCATAACATGTCAATATTACTTAGTTTTAAGTGTCTAAGGCTTGAAATCACATGAAAAGAGCATTTTACTAAGTTTACGACGCATTTTCATCAAAAAATGGCCCAAATAAGGCCTATATGACTTTTTCTTTGCCCATTTTCTACATTTCTTATCAAATGAACTCATTCTTTCTCATAACACGTCATTATTACTTATTTTTAGGTAGCTAAGTCTTGAAATCATATGAAAAGAGCATTTTACTAAGTTTTAGAACGTATTTCATCCAAAATGGCCTAAATAAAGCCTATGACTTGTACTTTGCCTATTTTCTACATTTCTTATCAAATGAACTCAATCTTTCTCATACTATGTCAATATTACTTAGTTTTAGGTGGCTAACACTTGAAATCATATGAAAAGAGCAATTTACTAAGTTTTAGGACGCATTTTCATCCAAATTCAACCGTAGGGCCTATATGACTTATACTTTGCCATTTTCTACATTTCTTATCAAATGAACTAGTTCTTTCTCATAACATGTCAATATTACTTATTTTTAGGTGGCTAAGGCTTGAAATCACGTGAAAGGAGCATTTAACTAAGTCAATGGCATACCTCATCAAGCTATAGAGTGTCCGTACAACGACTTAGTATGTCAAACATGAATCTCACCACGTATAGGCCACAATCAACTCCGTTAACTTGTTGTGCGCACTAGAATAGGAACAAAGTAAATGAATCAAACATGCATAGAAAATTAGTAACATCTTACGCAATGTTTATTAAGAAAATCACAATATTGTGTGGCATTACCATCGGTGATTTAATTTCCATGTAGGACCCTGAGGAGCACGACAATTTTGCTTCTTCATAACACTATAGGAAAGTAAGTTAAAATTTGATTAGTATGACTACTAAATGAGTTAGGTAATGATAACCAACACTAGGTAGCTATATTTACTTTTGTAGTATGGCCTTCACGAGCAACTTTTTTGGTTGATGCGTGCAATCGAGCTGAATCAAATAGGAAGATTGTGTTAGTGGAAACACAAATCACCATAAGGGTCCAATGCAAACTACATAAATTCACAATAGACAAACAAATCAATAATTAGGAGTCAACAAATGATCAGGGGAAACGATTGAACTTGACTTGGTTAGACGTACTCCTCATAACATGGGGTGAATATGAACTTGTCTCCCGCACGCACTGATTCCTTGATACACTGTTCAACATAATACATCACGTCAGGGTGGTTGGCTAAGATTCTAGTAGCGGAGGTCAGCTCGGGGCATAACCACCCAACTTGCCAAGGAGAATCAATGTCACTTAAGTGCTTCTGTAATGCTCTGCATGCATGATAATAGAAAATAATGGAAATATGAAGGATAATCACCACTAATATGAATAACATAATTTAAGTGGCATTGAAGTACCTCATGAATGTTTGAATGAGGGAAATGTTAAGCATTGAACCACTTAGAAATCCCTTCACATCTTCTTTGCTAATCCATGCAATTGCATCCTCATCATAGTGGAATGCCTTAGGTAGTGCAACGTCAATAGGATCGTCACTAGGCAACTGACTAACACGATTGTTTAGAAAAGTTAAATCCTTAGAGATCGATTGAAGGACAATGCCTCCAATAAGTGGAGTAGGTTGCATGGCTGAAGCTCTCGAAGAGTCTTCTTCGACGCTTGTTCACTCTTCGATCGTTGTTTACTCATCTTCTTTGTAGGTTGATCAATGCTTTTAGGCTTCTTCACCCTCCTTCTCTTTGAAGTTTGGCGTTTATTCAAAATCTGATAAAACAAGACACGTAATTGGTTAGAAAAGAAATCCATCTAACTCTAATAAGGAAGACAATCACGCAAAGAGTAAAGAGTAAACCCAAAGTACAGCGCGTGCAGCAGCTGCGAAGGCCGCAGCAGCCCAGGCAAAAGCTGCACAGGACGCAGCAACCAGCAACCAGGCAGTTGAGATGGGGACTTGGGAGTCTTGAGTGAGTGCAAATTTTTTTTTTTTGATTTTTTTTTTAGGTAAAGTGAGTTAGTGTAGATTGGTTATTCAACAGAAAATCTTAAAATCTTACCTCGTTGATCAACCTTACCTAAGCACGTGGCCATTGCACAAAGCTACCTTTTGCTTCCCAAAGTGTAGTAATCCCATCCTCCTCTATGGGCACCATTAATCGGATGTCATAGAACCCCACAATCCCAGAATTGATCCCGACCGAGTAATGTTGTGGCCTAAGCGATCGCAAATGGACCGTATCATAGGTCGGTTGTGCACTAGCATACGCCACCAAATGCAATTCTCCACTATTTGATAGCCCCGGGTGTAGAAGTGCACAACGGGTCTCTTCCTTCAACAATTTGGAATATCACTTATAAGAACCAAACGTATCACAAGGGGTCTTTTCCTACACAATTGATAATGTAACGAAATTCACTACACTAGGACCAAACAAATCACCTGTAAATCTGGAAATTCATGAGGTGTTGGATTATCAAGCTCCCTCGAGTCTACATGTGTAGGAGTACCAACCTGCAATAGTAAATCAATAATGCCACCTTAGATCTTACATAACTCAATATGCCAAAACTAATAGATTTGAAACTACCTCATGTATCTCATCTTCTCCATGTATCTCATCTTCTCTTTATCCTTGTGGGTGACTACATGAGTCGACCGGTATAGTCGAGGGGAATGACAAGCTTGGTAAGCTCATTTGCTTCGCCCAAGCATTGAATTCACCTACTATCTCGTTGCGTACCTGTTCCTTAATTGATGCCACCTTGGCATCCAAGTCAAGTGGTGAGTTAACACTTGCTCGAGATCTTCCTGATTTGGTGTATTCTGGACCCATCACCTTTTCCCATCCTAGCAATGTCCCTCCCGAACCTACTACGCGTCCTAGATGGTAGGGAATTCCCAAAGCCAAGGTGAAAGGATTTTTCTCTACAGTTGGGACGAGCTTGCCTTCAACCATTTGTTCAGTGTACTCAAGCTGTAGCAACAACAAAAAGCTAACATGAATATAATTAATGATTTTGTATAGTGATATTTATGCAAAAGCATCATAACGTTCACAAGTTCATAGTTAGCTTTAGAGGTGGGCATGGGTCGTGCCGGTCCGCGGGTGGCACAAGCACTGCACGAGCCCGCCATAGGCACAGCACGGCACGGTGGCCCAGCAGTGGGGCGTGGGCCGTGCAGTGAACAAAATTTTCATTAAATGGCACGAGCACGGCACGGTGGGCGGCACGGTCGTTTGGCCCGCAGGCCGGCCCGCGAGCACGGTCCGCAGGCATGTCACGCGGCCCGCCAGGCACGACTCGTGCATAACGGCTACTTTCAGCTTCCAACAGCCATAAACGGCTACTTTCAACTTCCTAATTCCTATAAATACTTCACTTCTTCCTCCATTTTTTTCCACAACTTATCTATTCTCAAATCTCTTATTCTCCAATTCTTTAATTCCTACTCTATTATAATCTCTATTTCTCAAAAAAAAAAAAAAAAAAAAAAAATCTCATATAATCTTTAATATTCTAATTCTCTCAATTATAAAAATTAAAATAAAATAAAATTATAAGTTCGGAAAATTAATTAGTGGAAAGCAATCGAAGCGTCGTTGTAAGATCTAACTCAACGTTATTTTAATTTATTATTATTATTATTATTGTTATTATTATTATTATTGTTATTATTGTTATTGTTATTGTTATTATTATTGTTATTATTGTTATTATTGTTATTGTTATTGTTATTATTATTATTATTATTATTATTATTATTATTATTATTATTATTATTATTATTATTATTGTTTTTGTTGTTGTTGTTGTTGTTGTTGTTGTTATATATTAATTTATTATTATTGTTATAATTATTGTTCTTGTCACTATTATTATTGTTACTGTTATTATTATTGTTGTTATTATTATTGTTATTGTTATTATTATTTATATTATTATTATTTATTATTGTAATTATTATTTGTATTATTGTTATTGTTGATATTATTATTGTTATTATTATTAATCATGGCATCAAAACCCGAACCCTTCTTCCTCGTCTAGGAAAGCCAAGTCAAAACATACTAGTACTAGTAGGGAATCACCAAATCCAAACACTTCAATGCCCAATCCGAACACTTCTACCCCCTTCTTCCATCCCCAAACCATGGGAGGATTCGAAAAATTTGACAATATGTCTCCTTGCACTATGCCTAGTTCGGGATTTCAACAAAACCAATCCTCACCTCATTTATACGGCTCACAACATGAATTTTCTTATCCTACTAGTCAAGGTAGCCAAACACATGCCGCCGGGTCAAGTGAACAATCCACCCAAATTCCAAATACCTAAATTCCAAAACACATTAGAATGGTGTACCGAAGAGGAACTTGTCAATACCAATCAAAAGAGTAATGTTTGGGGATATTTTCAAATAAGTAGAGATGGAACCAAAACCAAGTGTAAGACATGTAACAAAATTTACTCGGCTGAAACCAAGGGAGGGACGAGACACCTTAGTAGACATGTAAAAAAATGTGGTGGTCCATCTAGTGATCCAACTCAACCCAAAATTTCTCAATTCCATCCACATGGCTTCACTTACAATTATGAGAGAGATAGAGATGAACTTGGGAGAATGTTGTTACATGCCGAACAACCTTTTCTTTTTGCTGAAAATGATCCTTTTAACAATTACATTAATTGAGCACTACAACCCCAACACAAAAAAATCTCTAGAAAAACTGTCCGTTTGGCTACCATGAAATCTTTTCTAAAGTACAAATCGAAGTTATATGATGAATTAAGTAATCTTACTTGCAGAGTTTCTTTGACTGCTGATGCATGAGATAGTGGTTATGGATATCACTATTTGTGTGTGACTTGTCATTGGTTAGATACTGATTAGTTATTACAAAAACGCATTATCCATTTTAAAATGCTTGAATACCCCCACACCGGTCTTAATATTGTTCATCATTTAATGCAAGCTATTGATGCATATAATCTTAGGCCCAAAATCATGTCTATGACTTTTGATAATGCAACTTCTATGACATTTTGTGCAAAATTTAGTTAAAGCACAATTGACCGATGTAATATTAGATGGAGATGCACTTCATATTAGATGCATTTGTTATGTTCTTAACTTGTGTGTGAAGGATGGAACACAAGCAATTGGTCCATTTTATCACAAAATTAGAAATGCTATTATGTCTATTAACAACTCTAACATGAGATTTCAGGAATGGAAAGCTTTTTGCAGGCAACAGAGGATAAAGGCTATTAAAATATCAATGGATTGTGCAACTAGGTGGAACTCCACCTATGAAATGTTGAGTAGGGCAATCGAGTACAAGGCTCCATTAACAATCTTTTATAATAAAAAACTTCCAAAATTTGCTTTACTAGATGATGATTGGTCTAATTGTGAAAAATATATGCAATTTTTACAATTATTATATAGTATGTTACATTATTTTCTTTTGTTTATAATCCTTATGCTCATTCTTTTCTTAGCAATACATGTTTACTTGCACAACTTTTCGATGAACACCAATTACAACACGATTATGATGGATACCTTCCATCAATGGAGGAAAAATGACGTAAATATTACACTACTATTCCTATGATTTATATTTTTGCTTCTATATTAGATCCAAGGCAATAGTATGATGGCACATTTTTATTAATTGATATTTATTTTCAATGCATGAATTTTGAAGATGATGTTGAATCTTATAAAACTAATGTGACCAATCAATTTTTTGCCTTATATAGAGTTTAAGAAACTAAATATGGAACCGTGGATCAATTTGCTCCTTCTCAATCATCCAAAAATGTAAGTAAAAGGGCCAAAGGTTTATTTGCACAAGCTACTAACATGATGTCTAAGTTTTCACGTAGTGAATCATCATCTAGGAGAACACAAAGCGATGTTTCGGAGTGGCAAATGTACTTAAGTTACGACTTCATGAAAGGCACGGATGACAAAGAGAAGTACGACCTCGACATCCTTGATTGGTGGAAAACACAAAGCACGAAACATCTAATTTTGGCGGCAATGGCTCGTGATATTTTTGCTATTCAAGTCTCCTCCGTTGCCTCCGAAAGAGATTTTAGTGCGTCGGGAAGGGTTTTAGACGATAGAAGAACAAGACTAAAACCGGAAACACTTGAAATGTGTGTTTGTTTCAAGGATTGGTTGGATGCCGAAACTCGCTGCCAAGATCGTACTTATGCAGAAAACGACGACGATGAAAGAACGTCGGGTTCTACTAATTCTCAATCAATTCAATTGTCCGATGAACTTGAACAACAAGAAGAAGAAGACGAAGACGAAGAAGAACAAGAAGAATAATTAGATTATTACATACTATTAATTATAGCTAATTTTTGTATTATTGAACCCCGTATAATAAAATAAGCTATAAAGTTAAGTTATTCATCAATTATTGTACGATTTTTATCATTATAAATTATTGTATTATCGATTTATCGTATCGGCGTATAATAAAATTAAATAAGTTATTCATCAATTTTTGTGTTAACGGCCTTATCGCACTCGTAATTTTTTTAATTATATGCATTGTTTCTTTTTGCTAAATAATAACAAATATGTATAATAATAAAAAAATTAAATTAATTATAATAAATTAATAATAAAAATAACATAATAATAAAGAGTAAAAAAACTATAATAATAAAAAGAACAATAATAATATAATAATACAAAAACATAAACATAAATTAATAAAATTATTTAAATATACTCATTTTAAAAGTTGTTCAAAAAAAATATATCAATTAATAAAAAAAAAATTAATTCGGGGTGGCCCGCTTCCCGAAACAGCACGGCACGCTAGGCACGTGGGTTGTGCCGTGGGCTGGGGTGTGCCAAATGGTGGCCCGGCCCGCAAAGTTGCAGGCACGACACGACCCGGCACAAGCCACCACCAGGCACGGCCCGCGGTGGCCCAGCATGGCACGGTGCCCCAGCATGGCACGGTGCCCACCTTTAGTTAGCTTACAAGTGAATCTGCCACTTTTTTGGTTTCCGGAGCCTTGATGACCCATTTTTCGGTTTCCTTGTCAAACGCATGTCGAGAACAAAAGAAATCGCCAGCACGACTTACCAACGTAGTGATCGTGGAGTTGGAGGGTTCTTGAGATGACCCTACATTCAATTTGGGGTATAATCCCTCCTCGATTCACGTTTCCTTACATTCATCATATGTCCTACACCCCATACGATGGTTGTACAGCCTCTGCAATGCATTTTTTGAATTTTGCTCCCGCAGTTCCTACATAATAAGAAATGTTAGTATCATTACTTCAAATAAACTGAATATATTAACAAACTGTTATTAGATTGTTCCCAAACTTACAATTGCTTCTGGCGTACATTTTGGAAGCATGAAAGCTTCCCAATCCTTCTTCATGACGCTTGGCCATATTTGCCATGGGAATTTGTCTTCAACGACCTCTTCATCATTTCCACCTCCATCATCCTTTCCCTTGCGACCTTTCTTCTTCTTTGGTTTTCTCACAACTTTCTTAGTTATCCATCTACGAACTAAGTTGGTCTTGAAGCCTCTGAATTGTTCCACTAGTGAAGATTCAAGCGACCTTCGCTTGGGTGCATCATTAGGAATATTGAACAAACTATGCAACAACAAATAAAAACGATTATTAGTTTCTCCATTCAAATAACAATAAGGTGAAGGTATTTATAATTGTGTAAATTTGCCAACAAAACACTTGCCCTTGTATCATCCCAAAATGTTTGAATCAAGCTTGGAGGTACTTGTTTCCCACCAAGTGTAATGGGGTTTTTGCGTGCACATATGCCAACTTGAATAGAATATTGACGGTGCCATTTACCCCGAGGTTAGTCTTTCTCGTTATACTCAAGGAACATGGGACCGACGGGTTTCTTGAAACTTGTCGTTGGACCCCTACCCCTTTTCTAAGTCGGTGCCTTTACCCCCCCCCTCCACCATTCGTGTTGTTTGCTTGACCCTGTCCTTGGCTTTGAGTTTGAGGAGTAAGATTCTCACCAACAATCTCAGAAACTACATTTTCAATAGGGGGTGCATGTTTAGCTGAAATTTCAAATTCATCAAGCCTACGCTCAAATTCATCCTGAGCCTAATCATTCTCCTAACTCAAACTCATCTTCTAGATCACCCAAATCATTCTCCTTATTGACATCAAAAAGCTCGTCCTTATCCTCATTGACGTCATCATCATCATCCTCCACATCCTCATTACAATTAAGGTAATCATCGTCCTCCATGAGAAACACCTATCATTACAAACATAACACTATATTAGTTGTAATAGAAATGAATTTATTAGGTAAAGTTAAAAATCAAATATAAATTTATGAATTATAATACAAGTTAACATAGAAAATGAGCAAGTAAGTTATCATATAGGTTATTTTTAATCCATTTTCACCAACATCACTCTTTAAATCATCTAACATATGATTTTATAATATTTTCAACTCTTAGAATATAATATCCAATCATGTTTAATCTACTTTGAGAATTACTTGATTCATTTAAAAGAAAATATGAAAAATGGGCAAGTAAGTTAACATATAGGTAATTTTTAATCCATTTTTACCAAAATGACTCTTTAAATCACCTAACTTGTGATTGTATATTAATTTCTACACTTAAAATCTGATATCAAGTTCATATTTAACATGTTTTGAGAGTTACTTGATTCATTTAAAATAAAATGTGAAAAATAGGCAAGTAAGTTAAAACTTTCATTCATTTTCACCAAAATGATTATCTAAATCACCTAACTTGTGATTTTATAATACTTTCAACGCTTACAATCTCTAAATCACAAATAATAGTACCTAAGTCTAATATTCCTTCGTTGTGGTCTGATCGCATATAATTTGCTTCGTTGTCTATGTCATTTGGTACAACAGGTCTAGTAAAAGTGAAAGTTGGTGAATAATCAAACGCATGATATTCTTCCTCAACATCTTTAATGCATAGGATTCTTCTTTTTCCAGCTAGCACAATAGACCATTTTGGATCAATGGGGTCAGTTACGTAGAATACTCGCTTAGCTTGAGATGCAAGGATGAATGGCTCCACACTATCCTTCAAATGGCCAATATCTACAAGAGTAAAGTCATCATGCTTGACGTCACGCCTGTTCTTATCAACCCACTTACAATGGAAAAGAGCAACCTTGAAGCTACAGTAATCAAGCTCCCATATTTCTTGAATTCGGCCGTAGTATGACAGCTCTGCATCAACAGGTGATTTATCCTTAGCACTTGCAAATTCCCTTGATGATGCCACAAGAGTTACAACACTGTTTTAGGTCGATGAAGATTTCAAATCCTGACGCTTAGTCCAAAAAGTATACCCATTTATGTCATATCCCTTAAATGGGCGAACATCATCCCTTAAACCATAAGCAAGCCACCATATTGTATCTGAGACACTCTTATCTAATCTACCCATCACTCGATCACAAAACCACATCAAAACCTCTTATTATGAAAATGCATTAGTGCCCTTTCACCTTTCTATGGAAATTCATCACGCAGGCTAGCCATGTGCTCGTCCAAGTATGGGTGAACATCCGCGACATGGTGCAACGCAGATAGATGTGCTTGTAAAAACTTATCTCGGTTAGGTGAGATTCGTTTCGAATCGATTGTTCCATGACCATCAAGTTTCCCTTCATGTCGAGAAGTAAGAAGACCAATAGGTTCAGCAACGGCTACATAGTCGGCCACAAAATTACCAATTTCCTCGCCCATAGTCCCTTGAATCATACTTCCTTCCGGGTGAGCTGGATTTCTTACTTTATTTTGCAATATACCCATGTGTATTTCAAAAGAATAACACTACCTCATGAACACTGGACTGCATAACTTAATCTCACAAACTAAATGAAGAATCAAATGCACTATTATGTCGAAAAATGAGGGTGGGAAATACATCTCAAATTTGCACAAAGTCACAATCACATCTGCCTGTAGAGCATCAAGTGTACTAGGATCAAGCACTTTGTTGCATATTGTATTGAAAAACGAACAAAGGTTTATAATATCTTCCCTCACGTGCTTCGGTAAAATACCACGTATTGCAATCGGTAGGAATACTTGCATCATAATGTGACAATCATGGGATTTCATACTAGTCAACTTCAATTCTCCGTTTAAGGATACAAATCTTTTCATGTTAGATGCGTATCCTGATGGAACCTTAATGCCGTACAGACATGCACAAAACATTCGTTTCTCTACCCTTGACAATGGGTAGCAAGCGAGAGGTAAATAAGCTTTTTCATCCTTGCCTTTTCCCTCATCTTTCTTCTATGACGCATCCGTGGCCTTTCCCTTTCCCTTGCTCTTCCCCTTTCTTTTTTCAAAACAATTTCATTTTCCTTTTCCTTTTCCTTTTCCTTTCCCTTTCTAACCCTTTCCTGAGCCCACAACTTTGGACGAACCCCCATATTTATAAAATCTAATCGTGCACCCTTTCCATCCTTTGTTTTGCCTTGAATATTCATCAATGTTCCCACAAGAGCATCACACACATTC